TAGAGTAGGAGCGGGCAGTCTTGCGAATTTTATGTAGGTTTTCCATCACCTCGTCTGTCTTGTCCTTGAAGAGGCCTACACCATCGAAAGGTAAATCCTCAAATATGGGACCGAGCATCATCAGTAATCCCCACAGACTGCAGCCATGCATGCCGTCTGAGGGTGATGGCAGAAGCCTTTTGATTTGAAGCAGCGTTAGCCGTGTGGCAAGATGCCAGATGCTGTTGTTTAGCCAAAGTGGTGGCCTCAAGGTGGGTGTTGAGACCACCAGTTCTAATCTCTTCTGGAGCAGCTTGAAAGACAGGGAGAATCTTGTTCCACAGTTGCCTATGGTAAGCCCCCCATTGCAGCCTGATAGTTTGAGACCCTCATAATGAAGGACGCCAGAGAAAGCGTTAGCCGTGTGGCAAGATGCCAGATGCTGTTGTTTAGCCAAAGTGGTGGCCTCAAGGTGGGTGTTGAGACCACCAGTTCTAATCTCTTCTGGAGCAGCTTGAAAGACAGGGAGAATCTTGTTCCACAGTTGCCTATGGTAAGCCCCCCATTGCAGCCTGATAGTTTGAGACCCTCATAATGAAGGACGCCAGAGAATATAAATGATGACCCATTACATCAAGTTTTCTTCCCTCCTTGTTAGTAGGAGTAACTGAGGATCGACGGCCTGCTCGGGACTGATTTGATTGCACAATAATGGAATTTGGTGGAGGATGTTTGATTAGGAACGCGTAACCGGTGCCATGGGTGTGGTAGTGATTCTCCACCCATCTTGGTATCTGTAAGGACGTTGATGGTTTGTCCCAAGATTCCTTAATAAGGTCCAACATGGCTGGGATGAATGCCAAACTTAGTGGAGGAGATTTTTCTTGATTAATGTCATCAAAGACAAGATCATGCTTGGGAAGAGATGGCCATTCAATGTCCAGTTCCAACGATTTGGCTATGTGAAGGATGAGCTGTGCCTAAGAGGTAAAGTCCTGAGATGGAGGATGAACATCCACAACATCAGAATCTGGGGTTGGCAGGTTTGATAGGGACTCCCTGGATGTCTCAGAGGAGGGAACATGATCAGAATCTGTCGATGCTGAAGAGTCTTCCGAGATGAAAAGAGTTGGAGAGGGAGAGTGTTGATGATGCAGAGAAACAGAAACAAGAGGGGTTGGTGCTGGAGCCTGACAGTTGGAGCAGGATCCAGATAGAGAAACAGACTGGCGTGAGATCGAAGCTGTCAGTACCATAGAAGAGTGCTGTTTGGATGGAACAGACTCGTGTCAAGTAGACTTGTGTCGAGACTGGATAGAGTCACCATGTGGTACTTCAGCAGTAGATAAATTGTCTTTGGAAGATTTATTAGACCTTGGCACCATTGGAGTGGGCTCGCAACTGGCTCGGTGTCGACTCCAAACAGGAGGTGGCGACGGCAATGATTCGGAAGGGACATAAGCATACGGAACACTTTTGGGACGCTCATAATACTCAGGAACAAACCTTGAGTCATACTGGTTGAATCGGTATCAGTGGTGATCATCATATCAATCGATGTAATAAAGGGGCTCTCCATATTCAGGAAAGGCATGGTGTCATGATGGGCTAGAAATGTAACTCCCAGGGAATGTCCGTAAATAAAGAACTTGATTGAATCCATAACCCAAGAATCGAAACCGTAAGCAGTCCAAAGATCAAAATACCGTAGATAGAATCACAAATCACAAAGCTCTAAGTCACAAGAAGTCCAATCTCAGCGGCGGCTAAAAGGAACTGAGGTATTACGGGCGGGTGGAGCATGCGCGCCACAGGGCAACGTCCTACTAATCACGTCTTATTAAGCTCTAGAATATTCCAAGGAGTCCTGTGCAGGCCTAGTAAAACCCATTTGTGTGCATTCACAGAGGCCACAAAGAAGAACTTAAGAAATAACTGAAAAGGGGAGTTCCAAAAAGATGAAAGCAACCATAATTCAACAGCCCTAGTATAAAGGGACGTGGTGGCACTGCGGGTTAAACTGCAGAAGCCTCTGTGCTGCAAGGTCAGACGACTAGGAGTTGTAAGATCAAATCCATGTGACAGAGTGAGCTCCCGTCGCTTGTCCCAGCTCCTGCCAACCTAGCAGTTCGAAAGCATGCAAATGCAAGTACATAAATAGATACCACCATGGTGGGAAGGTAACGGCATTCCGTGTCTAGTCACACTGGCGACGTGACCACGGAAACTGTCTACGGACAAATGCTGGCTTTACAGCTTGGAAACAGAGATGAGCCCCGTGCCCTAGAGTCGGACACAACTGGAGTAAATGTCAAGGGGAACCTTTATCTTTACCTAAGATAAAGAGCTTTTAAAAATAAATAATTTAAGTAATCGTAGAATGTAACAAGACAGTTATTAGAATGATGTTTATGGACCAGACTGACATATATATATATATATTCTTTGTATTGTTGTTGTTTTATGATGGAATTTGTACACTGCCCAGAATGGCCTTAGTAGCCAGATGGGCAGCATAAAAATAAAAAATAAAAAAATAAATATAGAATTTATGTTATTCAGTTATGTAAATGGATATTTGTGTATACTGTATGTGGTTTTAACACTAGACATACTACTTATGTCATTTTATCTTTTTTTCTGAAAAGTGAAAAATGAATCTGTGTTGTTTAAAGAGCATATGTTACCAGTCAGTTTGGGCTCTTTATAAAGTATACAGCATTCTACTTTCAAAAAGTGACTTTCCAGACTGAATATGTTTCTCCACAACAGCCTTTCCCCAAAACCTTATTTTTCCGGGACACGGTCAAATGTGCTATATACAGAGGCTCTCCTGGCATGTCCTATAGAGCAATGACTCCAAACTTGGCTTCCAGATGTTTTTGGACTACAACTCCCAGAAGCCTTCACCACCACCTCTGCTGGCCAGGATTTCTGGGAGTTGAAGTCCAAGAACATCTGGAGGCCCAAGATTGCAGACCACTGCTATAGAACAGTGGTTCTTAACCTTTGTTACTCAGGTATTTTTGAACTGCAACTCCCAGAAACCCCAGCCAGCTGAGCTGATGGTGAAGGCTTCTGGGAGTTGCAGTCCAAAAACATCTGAGTAACAAAGGTTAAGAACCAGTGCTATAGAAGACACTTACTGTTCTTCACTTGCCTTACAGTCAGAAGATAAAACAGGAAGACCAGATGAAGCAAACTCTGCCTGGACAATGAGAGCCATTAAAGGAAAAAGAATATATAGGCAAATTCTTCTAAGAGCTAGCTTTCTAAGAGTAAAAAGGGGGCTAGATCTAGAAAGAAATCAGGTAAGGAAAGCCTTGGCTCTATCATTCAGGATCTCAGTGGAAGCTGAATTTGATTTCAGAAGTCCCCATATTAAAGCAAATTTGCTCCACTTTGAACTGTTCATTTTTAGCCCTGCAGCACCTATTTCACTCAAACTGGATAAAGGAGTACAGTGATTCCTATGTAAGATCTTCCTCATACAGAGCAGAAAACACAAACGCAAACTCTCATTGCATAGCTTAGTGCTTAGCATGCAATAAAAAGCAGCTTCAACTTTCATGTTACATGCCTGATAAAATAAATATTTGCACCATTTCACATGTAGCATAGACTTTTTCACTATAAAGTTAAAAACACTCAAGTGGCCTTCCTATAGAGCAGCCATTCTCAACATTTATTTGGCCATAGCCCTTTTAGCTCTTCTCAGGTTCCAGGCCCCCATCAAACAAGGATATAACACAAATAGATATCTTTCAGAAAATTCTCACATTTTTCATTCTGTGGGCCCCTTCAAATGTGTCAGGGCCTCCCTGGGAGGCGGCATATGGCCCCTGTTGAAAATGGCTGCTATGGAATATGGGAACAAGCTATGAGCTTTACAGTGCAGTTCTTGATTTCTTCAGATGGATTTTGCAAAAAGATTTGTTCCAAAGAGTACAGTCGTGCCCCGCTTTACGACTACCCCGCTTTACGACAAATCCGCTTCATGATGACGTTTTTGCGATCGCAAAACAATGGTCTAAATGGGGGGATTTCACTTTGCGATGATCGGTTCCCTGCTTCGGGAACCAATTCTTCGCACTACAATGATCTTTACAGCTGATCGTCGGGTTTTCAAAATGGCCGCCAGGTGATTAAAATGGCCCCCCGCTGTGTTTAGGGAAGGATTCCTTGCTATACAGGCACTGAAAATGGCCACCGTATGGAGGATCCGCGCTGGACGGTGAGTTTTTAGCCCACTGGATTGCACTGAACGGTTTTCAATGCGTTTCAATTGGCTTTTTATTTTCGCTTTACGATGTTTTCGCTTAACAGTGATTTTCCTGGAACAGATTATCGCCGTTAAGCGAGGCACCACTGTATTGAGCTTCTTACCCCAAATGGGATTCAACGATTCAATATGATGGCCAATGTTACAAACAAGTTCATACCTACCCTGGTCTATTCTCTCTGAGTTCTTATAAAGATTCATCTCAAACAACAAGTAGATAGTGACCTCCTCTTTACAAAAGAATCCCAATTATCTACGTAAATCCAGTTGTGGATCTCAATTAGAGCAGATTCAACGGATTCACTTTCCTCCCCAAAGCCAACACATACAGAATATAAATCATTTATTCAATGTGTTGGCTTTATTTGCAACAAATAACACTATACAACTTATTAGATTAAGTAATGCTTCTAATTATAACTGTATTTAAGTAGTTAATTCATTCCCTAATCACCTTTCAAACTACAGTTTTCCCAAGGCAGCTTACAATGTAAAACATGTGACTCCACATGTAACAGATTCATAAACGAATGAATCATATTTAAACCAAATTTAAGAATGAACCACTGAAAATGAGCTAAAAACACCAAAGGCATTAATAGAAACTCTACCTAGACATTAGAAAGTTTTTTGGCCACTCCGAGTTTTCACATTCACTCACCACATTTTCAGGTTTGGCTCAGCACAGAGAATGAGTTCTCATATAAATGTGAAATGCTTTCTTCTTTCAAAATCTTACCCAGAAGTATCCTGTTCTTCCTGATGCCGTTTTTCACTTCATCATCAATCAAACCTGTAAGTGTTTGACACATTGAATCAATGGTTTCAGTATGTTCTGGGCAATCTGGGGAGATCTTATATCTGTCAAACCACACATTGGACCAGCTCCCTCTCATAGGCGTATAGGGTCTGAAAGAAAGGTTGATAGGTGAAAGATGTGTGAATACAAAGTTTTAATGTACCCACAGAAAATGTCAAGGAACTGAGTTTCTCAGGGCCTTTCCACATATGCCAGAATGGTCCTGGAGGTGGTGGCCTAGGACAAGAGGGCTGAACCATCCTCATGCTTTAATGATCCACCTTCTTGTGTCCATGCTGCAAGCATTTTCTCCCACCTAGGTTCAGTTTTATTACTAGGAGAACTAGTGAAATAAACTGTGGTTCATACACAGTATGAACCAGGTATTGTTAGTCTCAACTAGAGTAAAACAACTAAATTAAGCTCTAATGGGGAGTGAACATGTATGTAACTGAGTTGAGTATATGCAACTACTTATTTGTGACTATAAATTAGATTCTGATCTTGGACAGATGGATACAGCAATGGACCAGAACTCATATAAAATCCCATTTTAGTTCTTTAAAACATGGGCTCACATCTTTAATTTGCCATTTGAAGCCTGAAAGAAATAGTGACTTATAACACAAGGCTGCCATGAAAGTAAGAAGACTGTAAAGCATTTTGCATACTAAAAATTATAAAAATGCATTAGTGGGGAAAAAATACTGCCACACTTCTGTTTATCTGAAATATAGAATGAGTTTGTCACTAAATTATATCTAAAATGTATACAGTTCTTCCATTATCATGAATGGCTGCTTCAATAAATCACCAAGGGATAAGCATGAACCTCAAACATGTTATACTGAATGTTTCATTTCACTTTAAACAAAATTGTACACGGCGTTTTAAAAATCCCAACTAGCACAGGATAAAAATTTCAAAAATACTGCCAGTTAACCATCATTACTCCTTCTTCAGGTGATCCACAGTTACATTAAACACACATACACATCTACACCGCCATCAGGCCCCATTCCAAAGAGTAGAAGCTGGATGCTTATGCGCAAGCACCCAAAATAACAAGTCTAGTTTTACTAGAATTCTTAAAAGTTAAAAATCCTATCCTTATGCGATAGCTTCCATTTAAACATCCAAGTGTGTATTCATTAATTGAGGACAGAAAAAAGTAAGGCATGCTTCAGCCATCATGTTTCCATTCCTATTGTCTGTTTTTACTCACAATGAAGTTATTCAACAGAGATGTGCCTCAAGCCCTCCACAGGGGTGTTCACACCTTACATTCAACAGAGCTACACTGTGGATATACAAGTACATTGTCACCCTTCTACACCAATTTTGATTATTTTCAACCTATAGAGGATTATACCCCACCCAAGGAGGCCCCCCTCATGATGTAGAACCCTAGAAGTTCAGGTTCTACCAAACTGCATGGAGAACTTTCACAAGGCCACCAGTTTCAGACAGTCATTCTCCATGTGACCAGAATGACAAAAATGCTGACGGACGCACATCTCATGTCTATGCCATCCTCTCCAAATGCAGGGGGTATTCATGTTGGAACATCACACAAATTACATGGTTCTACTAAACAATCATTTTGGAGGTGAAGTACATGGCATTCTCTCAGTTTCCAGCTACAAGGGAGCCTTCAAAAAGAGTCCAAATGTTTTTCTAATCGGCTTAAACAGACAATTTCTATGTTTACAACTCTGTAGATGTTATGGTCTAATGCCTGATGACAGGGAAAGAATGAAGCAGGGGCAGTTGAGGCAAGGGTAAATAGGAAAAGAATGTGTTGCAGTTTTAACACAATACACACTGGCTGGAATACTGCTATTTCGTACAGTAAGCTGCAACTAGAGTATACCCACTGAATCCACAGAACTGACAAAGGAGTTGACTCACCAGTTCCCCACTGATTCAATGGGCCTATTTTAGTTGCAACTTACTAGTTTAAGCAAAAGAATTTCATTGTTGCCTTGCTTTCTGACAAAACCCTTCCATTTTTTTCTGTGTAACTGTACCTATTCTACATTAACTGCATGAAACGTATCATCATGTCACTTTTGGCAGGCACTGCCATGATTGATATATATGGATGTTTCCTGATTGCACAGTATGGATGTGCTTATGTATTAAAGTGGGCAGCATCATTTTTTTGTACAAGATCAACTGCTCTGAACCAGAACACAAGAAAAAATTCGGGCAATGTATATTTAAGAAGAATTGTCATTCTTTCCTTTTCTAATGGCAAAAACAGGAACATACAATCCCTTCCTTCCAAGATAAACTCTGGAATCCAGCCCTTGTCCGCAATCCAATTTAACAGCAAGATAAGACCAATCTCAGATAAGGGATGGTAAGAATGAATCCGAAGTATAACTTTAATAGGCAATTAGGGCATCAAAATGTACAAGGCAGCATATACAGCAATTAAAATAAAGCTATCAGAGCCATTCTCATCAAACTGCAAACATTAAATCTGGGTAGACGTAGCTACAGTAGGGCTGCCATTCCTTTTACAACAGAACAAAGGGATTTGTTTTCTTTTCTTAACATCCAGTTCTATGTAGATTAATCCACTGGTACTAGCTCCTGATGTCTCTTGGCTCCCATCCCATTGGCAACAAGAGCGATCACCACCAGTACGGGTGTCAGTGCTTTCACATACCACTCTGAAGAGCAGCTTTGTGTGTGAATGCTAATAAAATAAAATAAATCATTTTCCATATATGTTAACTCAGCTCCTTCACTGTAATAAATGCTGGCTGCTGAAATGTCTTTTATTTCCATCAGCTATCAGCATGATCCAACAAGTGTCCTTGATTTCAACATCAGGAGATTTAAGCACTTGGCTAGATTCTACCCCTTTCAGTTTGCACCCATCAAAGATGGATGCACATCCTTAATTACTTTCCTGAATCTGAGCCTAGTGCTTTGTAACTAGGTTTCCCAGATTCCATGCTAATAAAAGTTGGTCTTACTCCCACAGCTTCAAAATGTAATAAAAAACAGATTATAATCATTTCTAAATGAACCTCAAACAATGTTCTTAAAGCTTTCTGCTGCCATTCTTTTGCTTCTGAAATGCTTCTGCCATTTCTTCCCTTTAGCGGATTTATGACTAAAGGATCCGTAGCACGCAACAACGTATATCAGTTACGTATTTATGTAAACAGTGGCTGCAATGGCTGGGATGAGGGAACTTGTAGTTGCTCATATCTTATGGGCAGCAGACTGGGGAAGTAAGTAGGCAATATAGCTGGTCCATGAAATGCCTGTGTAACCAAAATTTTATTTAAAACCTATGAACCAAATCCATTAGAGCAGTGGTTCCCCACCTTGGGTCCCCAGATGTTCTTGGACTACAACTCCCAGAAATCTTGACCAGCACAGGTAGCGGTGAAGGCTTCTGGGAGTTTTAGTCCAAGAACATCTGCCAACCCAAGGTGGGGAACCACTGCATTAGAGGAATGTGTGAATGTCTAAGATGAAGCCAGCCAGAAGTCAACAAGAACAGAGGAAAGACTCAGCATCTATGTTTCTGGAACCCTGGCAGAGCCACCATCTCTTTCATCAATCTGCTGTCTATCCAACATCTCTTTTTTGCTTCTTCCTCCTGAAGACAGAGTGACTGCCTGAGTAGTTTTTTAAAAATACAGTACTGTAGATTGTTGTGCCTTACTCCTCCTGAAGACAGAGTGACTGCCTGAGTGGTTTTTTTTTTTTTAAATAGATGGTTGTGCCTTATTGTATTCCATGTGTTTTTGATGTTGCTTTTATTTACCGTTTTTCGGTATGGTATTCGTTTGATCCTTTTTATTAGTAGTATGCTTACTGTTTTTTAGCTTTGAATCTTTTAATTATGTAAACCACCTTGTGTCCTTTACAAGGATAAAGGCAGGGTAAAAATATTTTAAATAAAATAAGTAAGTCTCACAATCTTACTAGTTTACCTCAGTAACGATCAACAAGTGGGTTGTGATCAACAAGTAGCTCTTGTGGCTCAAGTAACTGTTAATGCATCTCAAATTGTGCCAAGCTGACTGGTGATTTCATACTGTAGCCAAAAGGGAGAGAGACTTGCTACAGACACTCAAGGGAAAAGAAGTCTGCAATGTAAAGCTCAGATGTTTGAAAAATCAACATTGTTCAACCAATGTTCTACAAATATATATAAAAAGCTCACGTTTCTTTAAAAATTGTATACTAAGAAGTGTACTGAGTTATCTGCTGGCTAGTGAGAGAAAACCTGCAGAATCAATTCATTTGTAGGTTTATTCTGGATTTATAACAGTACGGGCTGTGAGATGAAAATGGTACATAATGCAATGATTCTTTGACCCAGATTTTTTGAAGGGAAACACAAGTAGGTACAGTATAGTTATTTCAAAAAGTTGAGACTACATAATTTTAACTTGACCATGTTAGCTGCCATGATGCCAGTTTAAACTATCACTTTCTGTTTGAAAAGCATGGGGGGAGGGAAGCAGTATTCTGTCCTGTTTTAGACATTCAACAGAAAACACATCTTTAAGTCACACATCTAGCAGCTGAAACAGTATTCAAAATTGCGGTCATGCCGGCTCAAAGGAGGGAGAAAAAACACCATTTGCTTTGAAAACCACTTGGATAGACGTGGCAGCAGATGCTATTTTTAAAGGCTCAACTTAAATTACAGCACATTTAATCACAATAATAGAAAGGGAGGGGATGAATGAAAAGATTAAGTTATATTTGACTATGGAAAGTTGATGCAGTTGTTAATTCTACATCCTTGACAACTCAGTGACTCATTCATTCAAATACAAACCATGATCCCTATTCATTTTCTGATCAAGATCTTTGGAAAGTTATTATCTGGCTACAACTACGAACTTCCTAGATTTTTGACTTTGAAAAATACTTTACATTTTGCTTCTCTTGTCTGAACAATCAGCACTCACTGGCCAAAATCCTGTTGCTCCATACAGTAAGCTGCACTAGAGAGGCCAACTAAATCTATGTGAATTTCATAAGTCAATGTCTCCATAATTTCCATTGATTCAAACAGCCCTACTCTAACTGTAATTTACTTTAGTACAGTAAGCTGCAGTTAAAGTAGTTCCATTTGAATTAGTGTAATGTACAGAGGAGAACCCTGAGTGACCACTGGAAGGACAGATCCTGAAGCTGAGGCTCCAATACTTTGGCCATCTCGTGAGAAGAGAAGACTCCCTGGAAAAGACACTGATGTTGGGAAAGTGTGAAGGAAAGAGAAGAAGGAGACGACAGAGGACGAGATGTTTGGACAGTGTCATTGAAGCTACCAACATGAATTTGGCCCAACTCCGGGAGGCAGTGGAAGACAGGAGGGCCTGGCGTGCTCTGGTCCATAGGGTCACGAAGAGTTGGACATGACTTAACAACAATAACAACAGAGGAATTGATACAACAAATCCCATTGAGTCAATTGGCCTACTCTAGAACAATTTACTACACTAACCAATAAGATTTTGGGCATTAGATATGTACAAGGAACGTTTATTAGAAACAGGAAAAGTTACACCAGGCCAGAGCCAGTATTCTCTACTCTGACTAGTAATCACTCTCTAGGATCTTGGTTAGGAATGGGAGCAGGGGAACTTGCTGAATTTCTCACTGTGGTTGACTTAGGCTATCTTGACAATCCAAGATAGCTCAACAAGAATCTTTCAAACTCAATGAAAGTTCTCATTGTAAGAGTGAGACAAAGAGTACTTCTTTCCTTTCTCAGGATTTCTAGAATTTGCCCACAATGTATCCAGTAATACAGTACATCACAACTTGAGCAGGCTCACTGTGCTAATGGAACTTATGGAGGAATTGGCTTACCAAGTTCCTACTGAATTAATTGGCCTACTCTAGTTGTGACTTATTACTAGATTTCAACCAACATTTCTACAGCAGTTGATATGCATGAGCACCCCCTCTCTCTTTAAGAAACACAACTTGTGCTCACAAGCAAACCCAAGAGGAATGACTGGTTGTTACAAAAAGATGCAAACAACTCACCCATGCTTCTGATTCTTAAAAGTCCATACAAACCAATACCAACTGTGGTTTTGAGTAACTTTCACAATTTAAGCACGTTATATAGTTTTGTGCATGATTTCTTAATGTATGTAAAAAACTGCCAAGACAGCATCACCAGAAAATATCTCACCCTCACACAAGGCAAGGAGGAAACTTTTGCAATTCCTTATCTTTGTTTGCAAGGATGGGGATAAGGACTGATATTTCAAGTTCTTTGCATCATCTGCTAGAAAAGCTACCTGATCTTTTAAACTGGGCTGCTACAGACAAAATGCAGATCACCTACTGTCTACCAGCTGATCCAGATCTATCTGCTACTCACCCGTACTGGTAATACATAGCCTATGCATATATTAAATATTTATCTTTTAATAAGTGATTGCCTTGTGGCATCAAGGAAGCTGAATCAATTTAATTCCAGTAATTCAGATTAACTGGACATCATTATACTAGACCACACCTGCAGCTTTTATTTATTTAAAGTATTTTAACCTTCTATTCTCCTTAAAAAGAATACAAGGTGGCTGATATTATTTTTAAAAATGTAAAAGCTAAAAACAGTTGACATAAAGTATTAAAATAGAATTACACAAGTATATTAAAAATAGTAATAAAATCAACACTAAAACACATTTAAAACAACAGAGCACAACAGTCCATTTACTTGAACCACCAGTTGTTAAGGGAAAGCCCGCCTAAAGAGAAAGGTCTTTGCCTGCTTCTGGAAGTACAACAAAGATGGGCCCAGCCTAGCTTCCTGTGAAAGGGAGTTCCAGAATCTGGGATCAAAGATGGGGCCAGCCTAGCTTCCCGTGAAAGGGAGTTCCAGAATCTGGGACCACATGAGAGAGGGCCCTCTCCCTTGTCCCCACCAGGCGCAACTGTAAGGGTGGTGGGACTGAGAGGAAAGCCTCCCCTGATTATCTTAATGCCCAAGCAGGCTCATAGAAAGAGATGCCATCTTTTAGATAGTTTGGACCCAAGCTCTTTATGGCCTTATAGGTTAAAACCAGCATTTTGAATTGTACCTAGAAACAGATTGGCAGCCAATGGAGCTGCTGTAACAGGGGAGTTATATGTTCTCTCTAACCAGCCCATCAGGAATCTGGCTGCTGCTTTTTGGACCCTCCCGAGTTTCCAAACACTTTCCACAGGCAGCCCTACGTAAAGTGCTTTACAGAAATCCAGTCAAGAGGTAACTATCTGGCTGCTGCTTTTTGGACCCTCCCGAATTTCCAAACACTTTCCACAGGCAGCCCTATGTAGAGTGCTTTACAGAAATCCAGTCAAGATGTAACTAGGACATGTGTCATCATGGTCAGATCAGTCCTCTCAAGAAATGGGCACACTAGTTCAGATCAGCCCTCTCAAGAAATGGGCACACTAGCATTAACTGTGCAAAGGCACTCCGAGCCACAGTTGAAACCTGGGCATCCAGGCTCAGAGATGAATCCAGGATTCAGGGTGAACACTGTGTAACTCTTATGGATGTTTGTATTGTTGCATCTGCTATTCCTTCTCTGATTAGACTTGTTTCCTACAGCATCCTAGCTGATTTGGGTCCTTTTTAAGGAGAAAGGCAGGGTCAAAATATTTTGCATGAAGTAAGTAAATAAAAACAAAGCTTCAACAGTAGTTCAATCAATTTTTTTAAAGAAAGCAATGTCTGTTGCAAGGTAATTTTTCTAATCCAAGCTTGTAAAGTTTACTCTGTTGAACAATAACTCTCAGCATGTCTAGTTATTTTAAATATTAACACTTGTGTATTTTCAAACATGAACAAGTACTAAGAAAAAAATGGAGTTAAGAGTCAAGGCTTTGCTTGACTACTTACTCCTCCTGTACACAAGGGATTGGGAGCCTCTGGCCTTTTAGACTTCAACTCCCAGAAGGCCAAGCCAGTCAAACCAATGGTAAGAGACTGTGGGAGATGTAGTCCAAAACATATGCAGGGCCAAAGGTTCCCCACACTTGTCATACACAGAAAACTACAAAATGTTTACTCACATTTCTTTTCATTCACCAGATGCAACCCCAATACTCAAAAACTGACTGCAATAACCATTGTAGAGGGAAACAGGAGAGCGGAGCAGAATAATCAGTGAAGTATGCAATTGTACAGAATATGATTACTATGTTGTGATTTTGTCTGCTTGGCAAGGAATTATCTGTAGTTAGGATTAGCTGTTGAGTAGCTGCAGCCTTGTGCTTCCATAATGGACTCTGTTCCAAGAGCATGCTATAAACACATAAAATAAAGAAAACTATGCTAATTATTCCCCTTGTCCTACTTTGGCACAGCAATGCTCCTGCATACTATCACTGAGACACAACCCTGAAGTCCAGCCTGCATTAAGATTTTAGCAGAATAACTCATTTATTTTTAAAAAAGCATGAGAGACGAACATTTATCACGATATTGTGCATATGTCAATAGAGTGACTTATACAAATACATTTTAATGCTGTAAAAGCCTAAAATAATTATAACTTTATTAACCACTGCCATATATAGGTTTTGTAACAGCATGCAAACTATCTTAAAATGCTTATTTTATTCACTCCCATGCTCACATCTAAAGATTAAGTAATTTATAGTGCCATACCTTTTCACAGGGAACAGCTAACTTCTTCAGAGGAAACCAGAAAGCATGTTCATCTACCTACTTTACAAATGGAAAGCTTTTGGGAACCTTGGATGGTGGTGGCCTTTAATTGTCAAACACCTCTGCCAGGTTGTGTCTGGTGGTCCTGATCCTGGCAGTGTTCTTTAGCAATTAAAGCCTTCCCATCCCAAGGGCTTCTCCAGGGTAAAAGGGAGCCCTAGGGACTCTTGGATACTAAAATGGGATGGTAGTAGTGGAGGGGAATAGGAAACCTTTAATTAATTTAAATTAAATTTTACTGGAACCAGTTGATGACATCATCAGCTCCCACAGGCAGAAATTTACGCAGAGGATTTTGCTGACTGACGCTTCTCAGGAAGTACCAACCCACATTATGTTTGGTTATTACATTAAGAACCATCATTTGAAGAAAACAGTAGAGAGTTATTTAATAGTAGCATGAAAATGCATTGAATAGTACCTTGCAGGAGCTGTTGGATAAATGATTTTTATGTGTTGGAAACACAAATCCTGATTCAAAACCTGCTTGATCCAGTCTCTTACTCCTTGGCCAGTATCACCTGAATAAGACATTAAGGTACCACCAGCATTAGATATTTGAATAATAGCAAACACCAGATTGCTTCATAATACATACACAAAAACAACACTGAGCAACATTTCAAAATACCTGATCATCCAATTAGATTTCTGGACAACTGAGCTGCACTCAGTATCTCTTCCTTTTCAGCACAGAATAAGAACATGCTAGCACCTTGCCATCAGATCTACTTCATCAACCGGCAAAAACAGTGCCTGTTTTATTTACTCTACTGAATACATTGTAAAAGATTATGAAGAAAAGAAGCCAAGTTACAAAAATGGAACTTGTCATGTAATAACAGATATAAAAAGAGAGGGACCATAGCAGCTCAATGGTAGAGCACAAGTAGAGTATCTCAAAAGCAATTCCTGCTCTTTCCATGCAAGGGTGGAAAACACTCCAAATTAAAAACCCAGAAAACTGTTGCTGGTCAGGATATACAATATGATCTAGATGGGTTGATGATCTGAATCAGTGGAGGGCAATTTCTACATTTCTTGAGGACACACAAACGGGATAACTAAACGGGTAATACTGTTATTTTATTTATTGGTTACGTTTCTTTTCTACCCTTGTTCCAGGGACGTCAAGAGACTGAACATGTTTTTTCTCCTGCCTGTGAGGAAGGCCAGAGTTAGAATGTACAACTGGCACAAAGTCACCCAGCGGTCTTATGGTTCAGGGACTAGAACTTGGACTTCTCAAGTCTTGGCCCATCACACTAAACAAAGTGCCAACTAGCCTTCAGGTCTTCCCCATGACATACACTAGCCAGAGAACTTTTATGACATATGTCCTTTCACATGCAGTGGGAGGGTTGCCTAATTTGTCAATTGGTACACTTTACAAGTGTTAGGTTGCAAATCTGACACGCACTTGCTCAGGAGGAAGGACCACTGGAAAACATGAGCCTCACTTCTAAAAAATATTGTGAAGGATTGTTGCTTTTGTTTGCTCAACAATGCCAATTCATGTTGTTTGATTTTTTAAAAGCCCACTTTATTTGTTAAAAAACTGGGAAAAATTACTTACTACAATATTTGTTGCACCACTTATTGTTTTTCCAATGCATATTACTGTATTTGGGCAGCACAGGGAATGATAAGAGGCGGACATAAAACTTGAAAAAAAAATCATTTAAAATCAGAGGAAAAGTTTTCATTTAAACTCAAAGGAAATTTCCAAAGTGTGCTGTTAAAACTAAAGAGGGGGGGGGGAGAGGAAAACCAGAATTTTGTGGCATTTTAAAGGTCAACCAATTTGTTTCAGTGGCTGAGCTCTTATTGCTAAGGGTAGCAAACTGCATTACAGTAATCCTACTGAATCCGTGATTCAGCTCCTCCGCAAGTTCCATTTATTTGGATGGTCTACTCTAGCTGCAACCTGTTATGCTAAGCAATAGGATTTCAGCCAGTATGTATTGACTGAAATTACAACACATTCAGTAATAAGCTAGTCACAACTATAGTAAGCCTGTTTGAAGCAATAAAAACAAAGGGGGAGATGACTCACCAAATCACCAGTGATTCAATAGATCTACTCTGGTGTAACTTACTATGCTAAACAACAAGATTTCAGCTGTGAGCTTTCACAGTCCAAACTCCATTCCTTCACATATAAGAGCTACCTCTATCTTGTAATTCTGAGTTCAGACCATGTCCCTTCATTGATACAGGTCAGGCAACTTTAATGATGACTGGGGCTTCCAGGTCCTGTTTCTTTAAGACTCCGGCTATTGAACAGGAGCCTTTTTTCCTCCTGTGTTCCCTCCTCCCTGATGCAACAAGCAGGTAAGGGCACAGCAGGGTGTTGCAAAGAAAGGGCAGAACCACAGAGCAAAGCAGCTAAACTTTGGGAATGAATCTCACTAGTATGGAGCTTTCAAACCAACAGGTGTTGACTCTGAATCAGGAGCTGGCAGCTCCAGCTATTCTGCTTTCCATGAAAAATGATCCCTTATAAACATGAGTTTACACTTGGGCAGTAAAAACAGCTTTATGGTGCAATAACCCCAATAAGTTTCACACTTTTAAAAAAATGTTATTTAAAACCACATAAAAATGGCTTTGATCTAGCTCACCTACTCAAACGTGACAAATTAAAAAGCTGAATAAGAATAGCACCTGCTGAGGGATAACTATCTCAGCCTGCCTGTGGACAGGTAAACAAGGTAACGAAAAATGCAGATATTAAAATACTGTGCAGCAGTGTGTCAACACTTTTTTATTTATATGATCCATTGCCCTCTCAAACTAACACTGCAATAGTAGAACTGACCAGCTATGGAAGTCAAGTGTAGTGTATGATTCCTTTTGGCACTACCTGTTATCACTAATCAATAGCTAGGCAGTAATGCGGAACAAAACACTAGTCCACATTAAAGACTGTATCCTAACCCTCCCATTAGGCTCTAACTTCCAGATGCACTTAACATGGCTTTGTGCATTCCCACACACAAAGAACATACAGTACTTACTTACGTACCTACACACATACACTTTCTCTCTCATGTATTACTATGTGGAGAAATGCTCAGTGTTAATTAACACTGTTAAGACAATTTCCACTGTTGCAACGGTTCAAAAAAGGGACAGGTGCAATATGTCTCCAGTGCAGCCTGTGTAAATGAGGGACAAAAACCGATGTGTTCATCTCCTCAATGTGGGCACATGTGTGACGAAACAGGGCACATTTGTGTGAATTGATACAGGGCAAGTGTTTGAAACCCACAACACCTCTGCAGCCTGTTGAACGAACATACTGAGTATGTACTTAAACACATTAAAAGGAAAAAGACCCTGCCAGATTTAGGCATGTTTATCTTGTCCTCTTTCTAGCCAATAATGACCGGACTTAATCTGTGCTAAACAACAACAACAAAGGCTGAGCCCAATGGCCAGTTTGGAAATGGTACATACTGGTGAAACTGTTTTCCCAGTTTAAAATGGAACAGCTGAAACATAAAATGATAGGAAACCGTTTGACACTTTTAGTGCATTGTTATATTTCATTCAAGCTTTGAAGGGTACGGTACACATGGCAAACGGCTCCCTTTCTCCTCACCAACGATCTTGTGAGGGAGGCCCAACCTACAAGAGCCTGACCCAATCTTACCCGGTCAGTTTCACACCTTTGATGTCTTAAGTCCCGTGTCAACGTCATCGCACCCCTTTGGAGGAGGAGGAGGAGGAAAAAAGCCGCACAAGTACAAAACAATCTCAGGTTAGAAGAAATCATTTCGACTTTCAGGCGCCCTCCCTTCCAAAAGGAAAAGGCAACCCAAGAAGCAACCCACGCTGATTCCCGAAAGTAGTACCCGTGTTTTAGGGGGAACTATTGTCCCGCTGCACAGGGGTCAACCAGGAAGCCCTGCTGTCTACCGGGCCTCTCTGCCCGACGCTGCGTGGTGGCGCCCCCTTCAGACCCTTCTGGGACAGGGAAGGAACCACCTGAGCCATGCAGGAAGATGACAGAAGCCGTGTGCCTGCCCGCGGGGGCCACCGTCGCCACCGTCCTTTGCAGCGCCCACTGAGCCGCCATGCCTGCTCTCCCGTCCGGAAGAGAGACCGGCGACGCACGTCGCGCAGCCGCCGCCTCCAAAGAGGCACCCGAAGCTTTTCGTCCAGGGGCTCCGCCCCCAGCAAGTTCGGGCAGGATTGGGCTCGAAGCCGTGTGGGGGCTCCTGCGCAGGCGCGTCGGCGTCATAGCTGAGCTGAGTGGGTGGAGAGGGAAGCGTTCAGTGTAGCCGGGGAGGATGGCGCACGGATGCGTTCGCTATCTGTGTAGGAGCGCCGCCTTAGGAAGGAGCGAGGGGAGTCGGCTTAAAAATCGTAATTTTGCAAAGTAACGTTTCCAGACGTTGTGTGAATTATAGTCAAGGCGATGATGCCTAACAACCACTGTCTGATGTGGACGTTTCTCGTCCCCTGCTGTCCTTAGCGAAATCAGAAGGATCATATGGAAAGAAACGTACTCTGCGTGAGCTCAGGAGCATTCCCAGATGCCCTTAATCGTAGATCTTGCAGGTCTGAGGCTGGGAATCGAGACTTTCTGTTGAGTAGCCCCTAAGCACACGTTGAGCTTAATTCCGGGTGGAGTTCTGTGCATTCCTTCTTGGAAATGAAATCGCACTCAGCCCTCGATTTCTGGGCGGGGTGGCCCTCCTACGCTTAAGAGCCGCCTGTGAGTTATTTCTCTAGGAGTGTAACTTTGGAGTAAACAAATATAAAGCTGAAGATTGAACAATCGTGCAAAGAGTGAATTGGGAAGCAGGAAAAGTCGGAGGCGACCAAAATGTTGGAGAAAGACACTGGAAAGAACACTGGTAGAACAGTTTCTGTGCTTAATTAAAACTTGCCAGGACGACAGAAACCTTTCATTCCTCTTCAGCGTGGATCATTCTCAACTGAGTCAGCTGGAACTCAGGAAAAGATAATGCTTTACTTTCCCTAAAAGCAGCTGCTTCAGTATCCACTTCTTGGAGTGTTCTGACACAACAAAGGGGTTGCTTTTAATCTTGCATAGTGTATTGTGTGATCCAGTATGGTGGGCAGAATATTGGACTAGCACTGAGCAGGCCTGGGCTCAAGTCCCAGTGCGATGTTAATGGTAAATCTCCCCTTGAACATCTCACATCTCTCAACGTAAGGAACTTGATGGGGATTTCTATGACTTGTCACATTTTTTCCTACAACCTACTTGAGCTTATGGGTGAGTTTGAACATGTCTCATGGTGAGAAAGGCCAGCTTGCTCATAAATATGTCACAACTTGCATATGACTTCAAAGTAGGTTGCAGAGAAAATGTGAGATGTCATAGAAATCCTTCCCCTATGATATATAAAAGCATTCAATCAACAGATGGTTTGGCTGGGGGATTCTGGGAGTTTTAGTGCAAAAAATGTCGGAAGAAATATCAACAACCTCCGATATGCAGATGATACCACTCTAATGGCAGAAAGTGAGAAGGAATTAAAGAACCTCGTAATAAGGCTGAAAGAGGAGAGCGCAAAAACTGGTCTGTAGCTCAACATCAGAAAAACTAAGATCGTGGCCACTGGTCCAATCACCTCCTGGCAAATAGAAGGGGAAGATATGGAGGCCGTGACAGATTTTACTTTCTTGGGCTCCAGGATTATTGCAGATGGTGACAGCAGCCACGAAATTAAAAGATGCCTACTTCTTGGGAGGAAAGCGCTGACAAACCTAGACAGCATCTTAAAAAGCAGAGACATCACCTTTCTGACAAAGGTCCGCATAGTCAAAGCTATGGTTTTTCCAGTAGCAATGTACGGAAGTGAGGGTTGGACCATAAAGAAGGCTGGCTGCTGAAGAATAGATGCTTTTGAATTGTGGTGCTGGAGGAGACTCTTGAGAGTACCCTGGACTGCAAAGAGAACAAACCTATCCATTTTGAAAGAAATCAAGCCTGAGTGCTCACTGGAAGGACAGATGCTGATGCTGAGGCTCCAATACTTTGGCCAGCTCATTAGAAGAGAAGACTCCTTGGAAAAGACCCTGATGTTAGGAAAGTGTGAAGGCAAGAGGAGAAGGGGATGACAGAGGACAAGATGGTTGGACAGTGTCATCGAAGCTACCAACATAAATTTGACCCAACTCCTGGAGGCGGTGGAAGACAGGAGGGCCTGGTGTGCTCTGGTCCATGGGGTCACAAAGAGTCGGACACAACAACAACTAAACAACAACAACCCATATATTCTGCTATTGTTCTGCAAGAGTTCACCTTTAATGACATCCCAAAGACCTGTCCTTATTTTCAGGTTTTGGTCCTAAATATGAGGGAATGGGAAGCTCCTATGTTAGATGACACCATTTTGCCTTCTCTTCAGGCATTGAAACTTTTCAAGTTAGATCTGTGCTTGTGTTATTGTCCCTGAGCCAATTCATATTCCTTTTTTTTTTTCTGGTCTGTTCCCCCACCCACCCGTTCTCTGATTTTGCTCCCAATTTCCTTAGCAACAAACCATACCTCCTTGGGGAAGCCCATTGCACACTTCTGAGTATCACCACAATTTCTAGGAGGGATGTTAATCTCCTACATATGTGAATTAGTTCAGAAAACACATGCAAAGTCAGCAGTGGTCCAGCTGCTCCACTCCCAATTTTGTTCCGCTGGGGTCTCATGTTTATGGCTTCCACATTTTGCCATGTATTTGTCCAACGAGGGACAGAGATGTATTTTCCTCCCCAGCATATGAACTGCCATAATAGCAGCTTCCCCCCCCCCCTTCATGGGGTTTTTCATCACTTATTAGCTCAGCTCCCCAGCTGTGTAGCACCACTCCCTGGTGCGAACTACAGAGGCATAATTCTGACAAGTTTACTTTGGCCCAAATTTACGGCATTTCGTAGGGGTAAATGAGTATCTTGTTCGCATTTCCACTGAATATCCTTATTTTGTGTGACAGCATCTGTCCGCACAGTGCTAGGAACACTGAAAATGTGGCATTTTTTGGAAGGCAAAAATGATATGCGAGGCAGCTTGCTCGTAAGAGGAACAAAAAGATTGTTAAAAAGAGGGAAATAAAACATGTTCATTGAGGCATCATGTTCCTTGCCAAAACTAGGCAAGGCATTCCTTCCACAGAGAAATACTTCACATGAATGTTTCAGTGGTGAAATACCACTGAGCTATATTTATTTATTCACTTTTATATCCATCTGTCAAAATTGCAGAGTGCTATACATCAAGGTTAGTCTGTGTTATGCTCAACTCCCTGTGAGGTAAATTATGCTGAGATGGTACTAGTGGAAAGGTAGGTGTATAATGGCGAACATGCTCACCTACTCTACCACAGCTTGGAAAAGTTACTCTTTTAAACTACTACCAGAATATCCCAGCCAGCGTGGTCTGCACAGCAACTGGAGTCAAAGGGATTGGGTTGAAGCACGCTAGGGGAGACCTGTTGTCGGAACCCTATATTCTGTGCCAGTTAGGCACCAGACCACGTTTCTTTCTTTATTCCATCTTTCAATCCTGCCTTTTCCTCAGTGAGCTCATTGCTAGCATGTATGGTTCTACTCTTCCCTACTTTTCTTCTGCAACAACCCTAGGGGGTAGACCAAAAGAGTGAGGGGAACCGAAGGTCACTCTGGGTTTCAAGGCTCAATGGGGACAAGAATATGGATCCCACAAGCTCCAGTCCAGCACTCCGAACACTACCCTATCCAGGCTGGCTGACTGAAGAAAACATTTCTTGAACTCATTGACTTGGGTTGCTAGAAGCTCACAGGTATTTGGTAGCTGAATCTCATGGCAGCAGCCCTCTTGATAACCTGATCTGACCGCCAGTAATTTCTTGCAAGTATTGAGGCATGATTAATTATTGATTGCTGTTATTGCTATGGATTTTCAGCTCCTCTTGTAAACTGCTTTATTGGGAGGATGTGAGTTATAGATCATAAATATTTTGAGGGCATCAGGGTTGGGAACAACTGCCTTAGAGAAGAGATTGTCTAAAGGCTGTTCATGTAGAACCAATGGGATGCAAAAGCAGTCTAGGTGGAACTCAGGGTTTTCAGAACACTTGCTGAACATTTGCCCTAAGAATATATTCCCAATAATACTGGGCCATTTTTTCTTTCTTATCTTTGAGTTTCACAGTCACCGTAAAACCAAACTTTTATCAAGAGTTTCCAAAGAAGTTAGTCTGTCTCAGCATGTTGGCAAAAGGAAGGAAACAAAATATTGTGGCACTTTAAAGACTTTAAAAACTAACAATGTTTTTAGTGAATCCAAGTTCATTTTGTGTGTCTGGGGAAAAAGCAAAGTGTGCTGCTGATATACTGCCCCATAGCACTTAAAGCACTCTCTGAGCAGTTTACAATTTAATTATCAGGCTACACTTTGCCTGCCCCCACCAAATTGAGCTGGGTGCTCAATTTACTGACCTTGGAAGGATGGAACGCTGAGTCACCCTTGAACTGGCTACCTGACGGGGGGGGGGGGGTTATAAAATGACATTTAAATAACTTGTCTGGAGACTTCTTACATTCCATTCTTTTGTTCCAGGAACAAGTGTAGTGTCTGTTCTTTTCTGAGTGACCGCAGAAAATCTGGCTTCAACAAGGTTCTCACACTTTTATTAAGTTATTGGACATAGAAAAAAAAATTCCTCAAGAATATTTTTTTATTTAATACATGCAAATAGATTTTTCTTATTACTTTGGTTAGCAACCAAAAAAAGGAAGAGGCTGTTTAACTTTCATAAATCAAATTAGAGTCTCTCAAAGAATGTATTTGAAGCTGTTGTTGGGGAATAAGGTTCATTGGCCTTGGGTGGAGATTTTTTGGAACCAGTGGTGTGAGGATTATTCAGCAACACATATTCTGCAATATTTCTAGTGATATCCATTCAAAAAGTTATAGTGCAAAAGTCTATTTAAAAAGTTAAGGTGCAAAAGTTACCTTGAAGGAACTATCAAGTTAATGCACCAATTATATTCTCTAATGTGCTATTCCAGTGCTTATGCCTCTGCTTCCTTCTTACTCAGCAAACTTTTAAAGGCATTTTTTTAAGAATTGGTGTGGGGAATCTCAGGCCTTTGGATCTACTTCAGCTGTCAGGGGCTGTTTAGAAGATAAACCCCTCT